TTGCAGTTGTTGTTTTTGGCCATGTTCGATGTGCGATCGTGTTTTAATTTCGTGTTGTATAAAGCTTTTTTCATTGTCAGCGGCGTGCGGGCATGCAACTTGCATTGTTTGCCCAAGTTGGATGCTTCTTTTGGTGCCTGGCTAAAATGCTAAAACGTATTTCATAATTGCTGTGGGTTACTTAGTGGCGTCAATGTACACGGTGTTTTATTTCTATTTTCTTCAATTATTTAGGCTTTTGCTTTTGCCCCAAAAACACACAAAAAAAAAACAAAAAAAAAAAAAAAAAAAAAAAACAACAAAAGAGAAGCAGCCAAATTAATCAAAGTAATTGGCCAGCTCAGGGCGGTGGGGGCGGCGGCGACGATGGGGGCGTGGGCCGCTTGGTGTACGAGCTGCGTGTAAATGAACTTCGTATGCATGCACGTATGAGTATCTCACAGATAAGACCATGTGGGAAAAGCATTTTGGCAGCGTTTACAAGCTGCTGTTGCTGTTGCTGTTGCTGTCGCTCTTGCTTTGGGCTGGGCGCCGAGCCGTGAACTGTGTCAGCAATGTTGCATTTTATGCAAAATGCCGCTGCCTCAAATACCAAAGTCCCTGATCAAAACGCCAAACTATTCGCCAGCCAAATGCAGTGTGCGTATGTGTGTATGTGTGTGAGTGTGTGATAATGCAGGCTGCTCATTTGACTTTCCAAAGGGCCAACGACAGCGTGACTTTGGCATAGTTTTAACGACTGCTCAGCTTGATCATTTCCATTGTGTGTGTCAAGCAGCAGCGAGAGAGCCATTCGTGGATGCGTGGGCTGCACCTTGGCTATGAGTTTTTGATAAACCAAGCCAACAAAAGCTAGCGCGCTATCTGGCGACACTGTCGTACCGTGGTACCATGGTGCCACTATGGTGCTGCCGTGGCACTGTGTGTGGGCACAGGGACACAGCATCGCGTGGTTGTCTTGTTTGCACTCTAACAACTTCCAGTTGCGGCTGTCAGTGGTTCTCGCTGAAATATTTGAGACAGAAGTGCGACAAGGCGTGAGTCGCAGTCGCCGACTCAGGCATACTAATGGAAAATTATTATGGCAGCGGAAAAATGTACGGAATCTCAAATCAAAGTACAAAGTGCATATATACATATCTCTTTGTGCTCCAAGACGACAAGGTACACATATAATAATATAACATAATAATAATAAACCTAATTAGCAAACATGACAGACCAGCTCTAAGCTTTATCAAAAGGTTAGAAATTTGCTTAGGCTGCTATTTGAAATAGCAAAAATATTAAAAAAAATTATTTTTATTTTTAAAAGAATTCATTGATTTTATAAGATTCTTTTTATTTTTAAAGAAAATTTATATATCATTCATTAATAAAAGAGTATTGAGTCGTCTGTTTTTTTTCAGTTTGGCGAATTGTTACTTGCCTCAATTGCTCAAAGCATTTGACACCTACTCAAGAACAGAATATTGTTTTCATGTAAACAGGTAAATTATCCATTTATTAGGCGTTTATTGCCTTTCATGCTCTAAACTCATTCTAAACAAGTCAGACGAGTGGAACTCTTGTGTGGATATATATGAACTAGAAATTTATATATCAACACGCACACACACACGTTTATACACATATCTGTGGTTAAGGTAACGACTTATAAATGTCCGCCTACTATTCAGTTTTATATGCAGTTTTATTACTCAAGAATTGAGAGATACTGTATGGGATGAACCTGCGGCAGATGACCTGCTGACCAGACGTACATGATAAATTCTTCAATAACATTACTGATAATTTTTAAAGCTAAAAATATGATAGCGATAATACGATGATAATGATGTTGACTTATGCATATGTATGTGGTTAAGTTAAGTTATTGACGATGATGTTGTTAATATGACCATAATGTGTTAGATTTCTGTGATCTTGTCAGTGATTATGACAGTAATAATGATAAAAGGATGAATATAATCAGAATAATTTTATGAACAGTTAAACATATATAAATTAACTTTTAATATATTTTTATAGATCGAAAATTATTTGATACTGTTATCAATAATAATAATATTGATTGCACATAATAAAGTTTCGTATGGTGATTGAAACTCGTATTGTTAAGATACCATAAGCAAATATAAAAGCAAATACAAAAGGTTGATGCTACTTAAAATGATGATGATTGAAAAAAGTTAACTATAATTATCATAAGGCTCCTAATGACAATGTGGTAATGACCGTCCAGCTCAGAGTATCTCCCATTGTGTTATGTGTTTTCGTATCTCCTTATTCAGCATTATATATATATTATTGAATTTATACACTATTATATTTTATATTAGCGTCTTCTTTTCACATAGAGTTGATCTCAGATAATTCCGGTAACCGAAAAGTATAAACTAACCAAAAATTTCGACTCCCAGGCGCGTCATCTTCCCACATTACTCAGGCGGACTCACTGCCTGACCCGTAATTCATGCACTTGAACACGGCCATAAACATTTAAACAGCAGCTGTGGCTAATTTGTTTGAAGCCCCATTAAGATTTGCGAACCGGCTACAAATATTGTGCAGCTAATTGAGTTAAGTGAGAAGTTCCAGTCAAAACGGGGCGTGTGAACCAACTAATTAGAATTCGTTTTTTTTTTCATATCTTCTTCTAGGCATTTCGTAAAAATTTCTTTGCGCCTTTTGCCCTAGCCACACCAAGGCAATTGGGTCAGCCAATAAAACAAAAAATTGCAGCATCATTGTTAAGGAAAAAACAAAGAAAAGCAAAAATAAATAAAGTTGCTGTTATTTCGGTGGGCTTTATTTTTGACTATTCACGAAATGCGATTTTAATCAAGGTTCATTATGGGGCGTTCGAAAATTTATGGATAAATAATTTATGCGTAAAATGCAAAACAAAATGCCAAGCCAAATTTCATTGATTTCGGTGCCTCGAGCTGCCTCAGCGGCATGTTACATTTGAAATGATATTTAATAATATGTAATTGTGAAATGCAGAGATCAGAAATGAGAAATGAGCGAATCAAAAATAGTCTGGCATGGCATTCATGAGCTCAGACTTTTGTGGGGAGTTTACATAATTGCTGGACTGAAACCGCAAATCTGTTCATTTTATTGCTGTCACTCAATCTGATCTCCCATCTGGTATCTCCCATTCTCCCATTCCCCCATTCTCTCTCTCTCACTCCCTTTCTCTGTATGTCAAGGTCAGGCAAGTAATCCGCAGACACAAACAAATGTTACAGTTGTTAATTAATTAAGTTGCGCTAATTTTGCTGCCCTATTTCAAATACAAATTAACAAATAATTTTTTGTTTCCTTACCCCGCTTTGCTGTGGCTCTTACAGCTGCTCATTTGCATTTTTAGTGCTTATCTTGGACCAGTCTTGGACTTGTCGTGAGCGCGCTGCCAATTTGCGCAATTGCTGCAGCAATTTGTTTGATTTGCTGCCTTTCAAGGGAAAGGTTTGCCCTGCCCACGTGCTGCTCTCTGCCCACCAGAGATCACATCTCAAATACACTCATGCAATACACTCATCGAAAGACACAGCGTATCAACAACGCATCAGCACGTACTCATCGGCAGCAGCAGCATCGTCATTATCACCTTTGTATCTTCGTTATCTCTTCGGTTAGACGATGCCAGTGACCTTTGCCATGCTGCTTTTCATATTATTATTGTTTCGCTTTTCCACTCTCTGTCTCTACTCTGCTGAGTTCGCTGTGCATATTACACGCTAGTCCAACGCCGAGATCAATATCGGGGAAGCCCGAAGCAGTTGCTGTCTCATCGTAAGAAAATCGTACTACACGATTTTTGTTGAAATTTTCATGATGTTTTTTGAATTTTTGAAGATTGATTAAATTACGATGCCCACTGCTAACTGTTAAGAAATGGCGTTTTGCCTATTCACTCAATTCTTTTTATATTCAAATTTAACCAGGCAACTCTAATATGGGTCAAAAACTACAGGTTTGTTTATGGCAAAAAGAAAAAAAAATAGATAAATAAAAAATATATATGTTAATCGTTTGTTTTGTTTTATTTTATTTTCTCTCGTACTTTTGCATATCTGCCACATGAGTAGTACGCTTAATATGCGTAAACTATTCAAGCAACGGCAGAAGCCAGTGGAACGAAAACAAGTAGCACTTAAGCATTTGATTGCAATAGATTGGCATATGCTCTACACAGCTTCTAAGCATATGCCACACTGGTGGATTGGCATTGATCTAACAAGATTTAATACCTGTTTCACGCTAAGGCAGCGCTCAATATATCCGAGTGTGTTGCTAAGCTCTTTCGGCGAATCGCTTATGATCTTAATTTGCTTCCTTTTGTAATTGCTTAATTAGGCAAGCAGAGAAACAATTGCAATGACAATTGCTCGTTTATGTTAGCAATTCTGTATTTCACAATCATCGAGATAAAAACAAACGAATAAATAAATCAACGTAAGTGCAACGCTTCTCTTAAATCTTGTCTCTAAGTGCGGCTGAAAGCAACGACTTTGAAATTCTTGCTTAGTTGAAGCTGAAGCGCTGCTGTTGATAGATTTAGTGCTACAGCTTAAGTAGAAAATAAAATTGTGGGAACCATTTGAAAGTGTCATAAAATTAGCATTTTAAGTGCCCAAAATGGCTTCTGCCGACTCGAGAAGAAAAACAGAACGGTGCTGGAAACAAATGACTAAGCTCATAGATGATTTTCGTTTTACGTCGATATTTATTGAAAAGTTGAAAACGAAATTGTTATAGAAGGCCATGAAAATTCATGACCCACAAGCTAAACGATTTTGTTTGGCATTCGTTTCAAAAACCTTAAAGTGAACACATCTCAAATCGACACAAAAAACAAAATAAATATTTTGAAAAGTAAATTACACGTTTAAATTTTATATATATTTATTTTTGTTACTATTTATTCATCTATTTATTGTTTTTGTGGTAAGCTTTGTTTGATTTTAGTAAAAAAAATTATATTTCTTCATTTTAGAAGTAGGACAGAAAAGCGGCCATCATGTCGGAAGATATGACCGGCAAGTCCTCACTCAAGGATATGCCGAACGCGGCTATTACGGACATGCAGAACCCGTTGCCCATTTGCCGGAAGCCCCGCCCGGATGTGAACTCGCTGACGGTGCGCCAGTACTTGGATCAGACGGTGGCGCCCATTCTGCTACACGGATTGCAGGCCCTGGCCCGTGATCGACCCACAGATCCCGTTAGCTACCTGGCAACGTATTTGCTGAAGAACAAGAATCGTTGCGACGAGCTCAATACGGATGCCATGTGAATTCGTTTCGTTTATTGACTTGCCCACACTTTGCGTTTAATTTCTTTGATTTCTTTGCTGACAACCGCTGCTATTCGCTGATTTTTTACCGAGAATGTTACTCTACACACACGTATTCCAGCACAGGACTCACCGTGAACAGATGCACACTCTCCAGAAACATGATTTACTGCCGTTAATCGTTACACACTCGTTCTAATGTAATCGCGCACTTCAATTGATTAATATAAGCAGGCAGGCAGTTGCTGCCCCACGAGAATTTTGTTTTTGCCAGACTTTTCATTTACTTTGGGCCGACTTGCAGTGCGTATGCACAATATTTGGCAACCGTTGCTGCTGCTGCTGTTGCTGCTGCTGCTGCCAGCGACATCACGCCCGAGCGCGTTGAAGTCGAACGGAAAATCGCGCCAACCGATGCGCCGTTAATAGACAAATTTTGTATTTGCTTTTTTTTTCTTTAGCGAGTTTAATTAGTTCCGCCGTTAACTGAATGATGACTGATGACTGATGATTATTATCGCTCGACTGATCTCTCTCTATCGCACGTCCGTTTGCTCAGCTGGCTCGAGTGCCACTAAAATCGCAGCGCTTTTAGTTGACGGTTTAAAAAACTTCAAATTCAAACGGAACAGCGGCTCGGCGCTTCGTTTCGCAGTTCGGCTGCTATCGGCTAGCATCGGCTCGACGCGATGCGCGACGGCGCGGCGGCGCGACTGCCACGAAGCGTAGGCTCTTGCCTATGGGAACGGGGCAGCAGCTGACTGGCCGCCTAGATGTAGAGGTTGACTCTCGTCTGGGGCGTCGCGCTGCAAAGCCGTTGGTTGTCATGGCTGTTAGAAGTAATCTACTTTATGGGCACTCTCGGAGCACTTTCGGACACCATAAGCCGATTTCATTCTGACCACCCGCAACAGTCACGCGCCAAATCGATTGTGTCTAGGCTGGCGACAAGAATTTGTATATATATATATATATATATATATATATACCCGAATGTACTATATATAGAACTGATATTATTAAAACTAATGTCAAATGCTTGCCGCATTCTAAAGTTCAAAATTCAGATCGTCTGCTGTTGGTATAATTTATGCCATTATTGATTGATGCTATAATCTGAAGTGCGATACTTGAGACATCGTGTGTTTCATATTTTAGAAAGGGTTATTTCTTCGGCTTGATGTTTGCCTTGATATTTAAATTTTCGAAATCGTTTACCTGCATTTCAGTTTACGTTATCCGACAAGAGCCGACGACGCTAACGTACATGTACTTACTCTCTAGGCTGACAAGCGTACTAGTACTAGTCTTAACAGTCAGCTATTATATCACATGTGGCAAAGATCATTCCGTCAATCAGTAATTACACTTATGTGTAATTATATTTGCATCTATATACTTGATTGATGTTATTACGGAAGGAATGTGATATGAATCGAAACATGTATATTTAAAGCAAGATACTACAAATTATAGCAATGACTGATTTTAATGGTAAATTGTGATTGAAATTTAAAAAATATATATATATTTTATTACTATTACTGTATTTGCATTTATTTCAAATAAAGTTTGAGATAAATATTTTTTTTTTTTTTTTTAAGAATGGAAATGTTTAAATATTTCTTAGTTTTGTTTTTTTTTTTTTTTTTTATTTATTTTAAAGTAATATGGGAAAAGTCGATATAAATACAGTCGACTCTTATTATTTCAATTTTTATTTCAATTATTTCTCATTAATTCAAAGCCATCACGAGTCCCCTACAAAATCTCTTTATGTTTCGAATTAAGTCCATACATTTTTATGCACTCAGTAATTCGAACTAAAAAATCATTGCTAAGATGCGGTAATTCGTACTCATATGGTGTCTTGGTGTATTAGTAAGAACTTTGAGTTTGAATTTTGGGACTTCTCTGAAACTAACTTTACTGTGCGTGGTCTTCTTTGTCTTTAAAAAAAATTATTGAAAAGTCTGAGAAGAAGCAATGTGCTTCGAAGTAAACCCGTATAAATGAGTTCTTTATAAAGCTTTATTAATTTGAACATATGTATGTATGTACATTACGTTAAATAAAAACCCTTGACAAATCGAAGTTTTATTTATTTCCTCTTAAAATTTCGAACCATTTAATATTTCAAACATTCGATAATTCGAAATATTTTACGAGTCCCTTGAATTTCGAAATAACGAGAGTCGACTGTATATGTATATTACAAATTTTTTTATTTATTTTTTTTTTCTTTTGTGCATTAAGCTAAGCTATAATATTAAGGAAACATAGGATATAACCTATATACTATGTATAAAAGTATCAACGATGTTTGCTCCCCCATATAAATATTCATGATGTTATGATACAAATGAGCCATAAAGGAATAACGAACCCACTCAGTGTCATAAACTTCGTCACATATAATATTTATATCAATCTATACATATCTACATATTTATGTACATATATGCCCTTAACAATCAGGCGTTGCCTTGTGACTTAATTTAATTAGGAAAATAGCAAAATCGTCGTAATCGCTTGTCTGCCAAAGATCTTGGATCATATAACAACTTGAGGTCTTAAGCTCCAAAGTGGAGTTTGCAAATTGAGCGTAGTCGATTTTGGCGCCAGTTTGCTGAATGCTGTTGGAATTGTTATTGTTATTATGATGATTGTTGTTGTTGTTGTTGTTGGAGTGCGTGGGTGAGTGACAGGCGAAGCCGCTGTCTATTGGAGCGACGCATTTCAAGGCTGTCGATCGATTCAACTTGCTGCCGCCGGCTGGCGCTTGAGTCGCCACCAATCTGCAAAAACAACAACAACAACAACAACAACAACAATAACAAGAGCAGCAACAAGCAAATCATATCGTAGCTAGCTGCGCCCATTCAACGCTTGCAATGTTTGTGGGCGCTGCTGCGTGACGTCACAGCCTAACAGACTAGCCATGATATCATTTTCCTCACACTAAATCACACGAAAAGCTAAACATTTCATAAATCTAAGGCTGTGCACAGTCCGATATAAATTTGCAACGCGCTTCAATAAACAAACTATGAGTCGCGGCAATTAGTATGCGGCGCACAGAGGCGCGACCCACTGTGCGTATGAGCAACCGAAATAAAAGGCAACACGGAACAGATTCGACTGCTTGGATTGTTTCTGCTAAACAGAATTTAAATATTGAACATGACGCATGCGACATGGCTGTCCAAAAGTGTCATTCAGCTGGTAACGCCCCCTCAACCCCACCTATTGCCACCGTCTCCGCCCCCGCCCTCGCCCTTGCCCTCGCCCGCACACACTCACACGGGCATAACATTGTTGTGCGTTTGACAATTGAAATGAAATTGATCGAAACGCGATTAGCAAAATTAATACCAAGCAACTACAACAACAACAACAACTGGCCAACTATGAAGTATTATAAATGTTATCGTATTTGCAGATTGTATAATCCATGTGCGTGCACTTATGGCGCGCACTGTAAGTCGCCAGCGGCCAAATTGTTCATTGGAATGACAGCGTTTCCATTCGGATGACGATGACGATGGACAGGAGGAGGAGGAGTTGAATTTCGCATATCGACTCGGCAAATCGTCCAGTGTCAATTTGTAATCTATTTATAAAAAAGCAATCAATACACTGGCCGATTGTATATGGCTAATTTGTAACGGAGCTTGGGGCATAATTAATTCAGAGTATTTGGACATAAGCGAATTATAACAGAAGCGAGAGATAGATAAACAAATTATTAATGCAAGCGATTCCAGCTTGAATTAGTCAAAGATAAACTGTGTGCAAAGAACCCTAGTTTAGCAATCGTTAACAGTTATTGATGAGCTAAAGATAATCTCTTGGACTAATTTGTAGAAAAAAAAACTACTAACGAGTATTTTTTTGTTTTGGGGTAAGACTAAAAACGATAGGTGGGGCACTATCGATCCAAAAATTAATAGTGGTTTGGGTAAAATGATTGATTTCAATGTCTTCAATCTTAATCTTATAAGAGATTACTTTAATTTTTACGAAATAGTTCAGAATTTTTTTGTGCATTAAATTATATTACTTAACATTAAAAACAAGGTAAAAACTTTTAGAGAATTACAATCTATTATGAAATAATATTGCTCATCCTTAAATTTTGTTCATTAAGTTTAAGTGAATCGTTTATTCGATCAATCCTCAGTAACTCCATAATCAAAACTCATTCACCATTACAGAGATTCATATAATGTTGACAGAGCATTTTAAATTCAGCTTGATTTTCTAGAAGGCTTTCTATTGTGTTTGTTTTATTTTTATTTATTTTATTCACATATAAATTTTTTGCTATTATTACTGCAAAGTCACGAACTGTTCACGCGATCTGACTTTGACAGTTTTGTTTTATTTTTATGTAAGTGGCGTGGTTGGGCGCATGAGATATTATTCATCCAGTTATATCGACTGAGAGGCGCAGATAGACTAAATCAAATCCAGGGCATTGATATGACCTCGTGCAGTTAATCCATTGAGCTGGGCTTGTGAAAGTTGTGGCCCCACAGAATTGAAGACAAAGAGCCAAAAGCTCCAGCACCCACACATAAAAGAGAAATAGCAATCACCCAGCGAGCATTAAAAAATCGCCATCGCTCCACATTTGGATGCAAAACTGAGCTGGCCTAGAACACTGACAGTTAAAAGAAATCTGCAAGAAATAGACAAAAAGAAGACAAAATAACAGCATGACCTACGCTAATAGAAAAAAAAAATAAAAAAAAAAAATGAAAGAAAAACAATTTTTAGAATTCAGACTAATTTTAGCAGTTGCGACATCAGCGAAACATCGCAGCATTTCGAACAACAAACAACAACAAAAGTTCGCTGAACTGCACAAAGGCAGGCGAAGATATAATATGTAATAGCAAAACTTCAGAAACGCTAACGAAAATACCAACAACAACAACACCAACGACAACAACAATGCGAGAACGAAGACAAAGCCAAACTTCATTAGTTGGCTCTCGCATCATCAGCTAAGTTGGCCAAAAAGAAAGCAGCAGATGATTCTGGCCACAAAAAATGCACACAAATCAACGTTAGAAGATCTGCAAAGCGGATGAAGAAGAAGCGTAGCGAAATTCCACAGCTACAAATTCGATCTATCGAAAACAAATTGACTTTTTATAGACAGTGACAACAATTAATTATATTTTAATATGCCTGCACCGTGCCCAGCGACGAGGCCCCAGACCCCAGACCCCAGACCAGACCAGACCCTCGACTCGAGCTACGTCTGTTACACCTGCGACTGCGTCTCCAATGCCGCTTAGCATGGCCGACAGCTTATTAGTTTATAGTGTCAACAACGCGGGTTAAAAAGAACGCCCAAAGAAAGAGGCGACGGGGAGACAGCGACGAAGAAAGGTCGTCGCAGCTGCCGTAAGTCATCGAACTTTCTCCACAGGTTCCCTTTGTTTCAGCTAATTTCTATATTATGTTACAGGTGTTGTCAGCCGCACATTAATTAATTATGTTTTGGCAGGCGCCTCAAACGGGTCAGCCAAGGTCTGCTGCACTTGCCGATCGTCAACAGCGGGCGACGCCAATTTGTAACCATTAGTCGCACAGTTTGACTATATATCGGGTACTCTTAACAGGGGGAATCTGATCACAAAATGTGTATCACGTAGATGGAAGCGCGTACGATCGCTGAAGCATCGGCAGATATTCTTGATCTATTTTGATATATGTATGTCTCTATTCGAATCTATGATCGATAGCTCCCATATATGTATTTCTCTTAATATTATAATTGGTTTACAATAAAGTTAATAAGTATTAACCTGTAAGTTACACAGGGAAAATCAGCGTGACTTCAATTTCATTTATATTCCTTATAGCCTGACCTTATTGACAATATGAACAAATTGTAGTTTGTTCTTATAAGCCATATCAAGTAGGTGTTGACGCTAAATCGACTCAGCTCGTCGCCCTGTTCAAAAATATATATACTTTGTGGGGTCTGCCACGCCTCCTTCTGCCTGTTACATA